AAGTGCAAAGAGAAAGACATCCTTCAGGGTCACTCTCCCGTTTCCCTCCAAATCCTCAGAGGTAGGGAGGACACCAAAGACAAACCTGAGGCAGATATATTATTTCACATGACTGAGATCACAGGACAAGAGACAGGTGTCATGAAGGACGCCTGTCATCTCAGCACTTGGCAGGCAGAGAGAGGAGATCACTCAAGGGTCCAGACCCGCCCTGGCTGCGCGGCAAGCTGCTGTCTCAACATCAATAAACAAGCCGCAGAAACCAATACTAAGCAGTGTGATCAGGCCTTGGTTTCAGGGTCTTTCCACTGCAGTGTGCCGCATTTCCTCCCCTTCTTCCCCCTTCCCCTCCAGCCCTTTCGAGGCACAAACTTGCGAGATATAATGCAAGAGATGCATCTATCTAGCCCAGGTGAAGAAAACAAACTCTGACATTCAGGCAGAAACTACCTTACCATCAAAGACCCTGACCCTCAGGGCTAAGGAAAGAACACTTACCCTTGGATCGGCATCACATCTGACCATTTTCATTCTCCTTACTGTTCTATAGTCTTAAGTTCTAAAGCACTTTAAAAACTAGAAAAGACATCTGGATTTAGACTCTACCCAGTTCTCAGAGGAAAGACAAACCCCAGACAACAGTTTCATCTGGAAATACCCACTTGTGAACATCAGGTTAAAGAAGTGACTCGCTGCAGCAAGGACCACACGGTGCGCGGGTATCTTCCTCTCCTGGACCATGAGGATCACGTCACACAATGTTCTCTAGTGAAAGAGAAAAGCACAGAGAAAGGAACTCACCGGCTTGGCTCAGCAACATTAAGTCTAACAAAGCAGGAACTGACCAAATGCTGTAATGCCTCTATCGATTTTCTCCTAAAATCCCTCTTTCCACACACACTTTAGAACATATTTAGCAAAGACTCACAGAGTTGCTGTCAGATAGTATCAAAATTGGGTACTATACCCTGAACAGCCAAGAGGAAAATCAATTAGTGTATCTGTCATTAAAGACAATTCCCCTGAGCTACGGGTGATGGCCTACAGCTGTTGAGAGGCTGAACCTAACAACTTTGAGGCCAGTCTGGGCTGCATAGGGGGATCCTATCTAGCTTTCACCCTCAAAAGAAAATAGTCTACCGATCCTTCAGGGAAGCCACAACTTTTTTCCTAGTATAAATTCTAAGGCCTTATTGTGAGCTTTTTTCAGGGGAGGAGGAGTAAATGATACGATGGCACACTCAAATCATATTCCTTAAACACTGTCGTCTATATTGACTTCACCAATGATTGTAAAATCCAGAGTATATGGCACATTAACCATAAAAGTAGCTGTCACAGTTCTGATGGAAACAGAAGGGATTCGGAACACAGAGTGGATGAACTGACTGCTCTGAAGTAATCTTTCCTTAGACAGCTCTTCTCCCAAGCACCCTGCTGGAAGAAGCTGGCGAGCAGCCATTTCTAATGCTAGGGTGCCAGAAGTGGTCCTAAAATAACTTCAGCTGCTGGAAAGAAAAAGGAATACTGAAAAAATGTCAAGGGTTGTCATCTTATAGATGACTTTGAAAGAAAAATATATTGGGGGAGCACCAAATAATACATTCACAATGAAGCTAAAGATAGTATATAGAGAGCGCACAGAAATGTGGTGCCTGACATTTGCAGCCAATGTCCTAACCACTGGGAGTGTGAGGCAAGCAACGCATTCTGAGTTTTTGTTTTTGTTTTTTTAAGTTTTAAATTTTATGTGTATGGTGTTTACTTGCAAGTATGTCTGTGTACCACATGACACCTGAGAGGTTCAGATGAGGGTGTCAATTCCCCGGGACTGGGATGATTTTAAGATGCCATTTGGGTCCTGGGAATTGAACCTGGGTCTTCTCCTGAGCCATCTTTCCAGCCCGATACTGAGTGGTTTTTAAATCTTGTCACAGATCTATAATAGTTTAGTAGCTTAGCAGATACAGTTTTTGCAAATTTTAAATATTTTACTAAACGACAAGTATTTTACTACTCTAGCTTTGGAGGACTTGACATTTCCTACTATGTATTTAGTTTGCTAGTGTGTGTGTGTGTGTGTGTGTGTGTGTGTGTGTGTGTGTGTGTGTGTGTGCGCGCGCACGCGCATGCAGGCACGTGGGTCAATGCCTTTGCAGACAGAGGCCAGAGAAAGTTAACAGGTGTCTTTCTTCTTTCCACCTAAATTTTTGAGACAGTCTCTCAGTGAACCTAAAGCTTGCTGTTTTCATCAGCCTGGCTAACCAGTGAGCTCTCAGGACTGACTCTCTGCTGGGGTGACAGACACATCTGGCCATGCCTGGCTTTTCTGTGGGTGCTGGAAATTTGAAATCAGGGAAAATGGCAGAGGTGGTTCCACAGAGGGCATGGACTGTGGCGCTGTTGAGCAGGGAACAGCTGCCCAAGAAGAACATTATCTGCAGGATCACAATTCAGATTCATTTCTTGCAGAGCATAAACTATTAGGAAACACTGAAAATGTAACTAAGATGGCTAAGAGGACCACTTGGTACAGTTCATAGCCATCTTTTTATAGTGAGCATTTCAAAGATGCTGAAAGAGAAGCAAAGGGTCAGTGCAAACGGAAGCTGTGGAGCCTCATGACAAAACTCAAATTAAGTCTAAAGGGACCCTGGACAAGGCTCTACCAATAAATATATACAACATCTGCTCTAAAATGGAGATGAAATCAACTTTCTCAAAAGGGTGGTGCTGCTCACTGCTAGTTTATAGGGGCACTACAGGATGGGGCTGGGTTTGATATTAATATTCAACAAGTTCAAAGAAGAAAAATGCCAAGCCTGTAAGTTTCCCAGATGGAACAAGAAAGACTATTAGAGGAGGGCATGAAGCACTGCTGACTACAGGGAGGGGAGAAAAGCTCAGACGGACCAAGACGGGATGGAATCATGGGGAGAGAGAAAGGGCAGCCGGATGCCAAAATCCCACCAAATGTAAACCTTTTTTGAAATGAAACTAGACACTGAGCAGTGCTTCATATTGTTGTAGACTATTATTTGAAGATGTGTTACATTTGTTTATCCTGTGGAACATTTGCTTGATGGTACAAAGATGTGTTGCATTTTTTTATGTTGCATTTGTTTAACACTGTAAAGCTGTGTTACTTTGCCTGTCTAAAACACCTGATGGTCTAATAAAGTGCTGAATGGCCAATAGTGAGGCAGGAGAAAGAATAGGTGGGGCTGGCAGGCAGAGAGGATATATAGAGGGAGAAATCTGGGAGGCAATAAAGAGAAAGAGCAAGAGAACAAGGAGAGGAAGACTTCAGGGGCCAGCCATCCAGCTACACAGCAAGACACGGAGTAAGAAGGAAAGAAAAGGTGTACAGGAATAGAGAAAGATAAAAGCCCCAAGGCCAAAGATAGGATAATTTAAATTAAGAAAACCTGGCAAGAAATAAGCCAAGCTAAGGCCAGACATTTATAATTAAGAATAAGCCTCTGTGTGATTTATTTGAGAGCTGGGTGGTGGGCCCCCCTAAAGAGCAGAAACAACCAACAATATCGTATCTAATGACATCAGCAACAACAAAAACCTGGCCTCCAAACTAAAATTACAGATCTTGTTAGTGTTAGAAGGTGTGGCGTTTGAATGAGGATGCTCACCATAGCTTATATACTTGAATGTTTGTTTCCCAGTTAGTGAGTGTTTAGGAAGGATTAGGAGGTGTGTCCTTGTTGGAGAAGGTGTGTCACTGGGGTGGGCTTTGAGGTTTCAAAAGCCCACCCCAGGCCCAGGCTCCCTCTTCTCTGCCCCCTGACTGTGGAAGAGGACCGTAAGCTCTCACCTCCAGCTCCAGTGCCATGTCTGCTTGTCACCATGTTCCCTGACAGGACGATTATGGACTAACCCTCTGAAACTGCAAGCAAGCCCCTAACTACTGCTTTCTTTATAAGCTGCCTTGGTTATGATGTCTCATCACAGACACAGAAGAGTGGCTAAGACATAAGGGAAAGTTAAAACTGAAGGAGTTAAAACTTGTTTACTTGATCTCAAGTTCTGAGAAATATAATCCCCTATAAATCTTTTGAAATCTCAAGTGTTTTATTAGAATGTAGAATACTAAGAATTGTTTGGGTTTTTTGTTGTTGTTGTTTTGTTTTTTTCTTTCTACCTCGTATTGTAAACTAAAAGGCTTTTAAAAAAGTTTGACTTGGGGGCTAGAGATGTTTCAGTGGTTAAGAACACTTGCTGCTCCTACAGAGAACCCAAGTTCAGTTGCTAGTATTTAACTTTAGGATGCTCACAACCTCTTGTAACCCTTGTAAGCAAATAAACTTCCATTTTATAAAACAGAGTTTATGGTAGTGTTTTACCACGGCAGAAAGCAGACTAAAAATAGTGACTCAGACTAAATTCTCACTAATACAATTTCTGTAAGGCTTAGTTTCTTCTTTCATCGTTATTCTAACATTTCATCTGGCCTATGCTATCCTCAGCTGTGATATGGGTTATGCTTGAAAAATAAATTGCTGCCTTAGTTACTGTTCTATCGCTGTGAAGAGACACTATGACCAAGGCAACTTACAGAAGAAAGCATTTATTGGGAGCTTGCCTACAGTTTCAGAGGATTACTCTTTTAGTTCTTTTTTTAACATGACAGCAGACAGGAAGCGGGTGAGAGCTTACATCCTGATCCACAGGCAGGCAGACAGACAGACAGAGAGATGGGGCCTGGTGTGGGCTTTTAAACCTTCAAAGCCCACCCCCATTGACATACCTCCTCCAACAAGGTCACCCCCATTCTAACAAAGCCATACTTCTTAATCCTTTCCAAATACTTCCAGTAACTGGGGACCCCAGCATTCAAACATATGAGTCTATGGGGACCTCTTTCAAACATTACACTCCCTGGCCCCAACAGGCTTGTAGCCATATCATAATGCAAAATGCATTCAGTCAAACTTCAAAAATCCTCATAGTTTTTCAGTCTTAACACTGCTTAAAAGTCCAAAATCTCTTCTGAGCTTCAAGGCAATCTCTCAATTGTAACCCCCAGTAAAATAAAGCAGAGCACACACTTCCACTATACAATGGCACAGAATACACACCACAATTCCACAAGGAAAGAAAGGGGGCAAAGGAAGAAACACTGGATCAAAGCAAGATGGAAACCAGAATTCCAACCTTGTGTCTCTAGGTCTAAAGCCAAAAGGTTTAGTGGACGCCTTTTCCCTTCCAACTTTGCTGACTGTAGCACACTTCTCTCTTGGGGCTCGTTCCACATCCTGCCTCAGCTCTACTTAGCAGGTATCCCATGCCTCTGGCATCTTCAACAGCTTGCTAGGGGTCTCCACCATTAGGTTTCATCTTCATGGCTTCATACAACAGCCTCTCTGGGTCTCCATGCAGGGGCTATCCTGCCACCAGACCAACCTCAGCAGCTGTCTTTAACTGCAGAGGAAGAAGGTTCCACAACCGTTTCCTGTATGGGCCTTGAAAATCCAGAACCAGGTGGCCAGAGCTGCTAAGTTCTGCTTGCTAGGGCCAGTACTTGGCCCCCTCCTTGACTCATATTTGCATAAGATTTAACTTGTTGATGGCTTCTAGGCTGAGGAAATCCCTCAGGCCTGTTCCAGCCACAGGTTGCAGGGTTAACTCGGGAGGGAGGGGCTCACTCTCAGGGTACCACTCCCTTTATTCCATTTTGAATCCAGCCTTTCTTTAAACTTCAAACCTGGAACACAAGACTTGGTTCCAATATTATACTTGCTGGTGCTCTT